ACAAAAATGAGCAAGTCTGTGGCGGGATGACATGAGATATTATCGACGGGCAAACATACAGAACAGGAGGCACTTGAAACGCCTGTCTGAAGTATGCGTGGCTGCTTGTTCCTTGAAAGTCAGGACGATAAATGCTGCCTGGTGCCCTAACCCTGGGGACGAGCGCCAATATCAGCCCCGCCGGCTTGGCTGGAACAAGGCAATCCGACAGGAGGAAGGCACCGTGCCGCGCGCCCCATTGATCTGTCGAGGATCGACTTTATGCCATGCCAATGTGTCCCTGACAGCTTTCACGATTCCGGACCTGTCACAGAAAAAAAGACGCAAGCTGTGCTGTTGATTTGAGCACATTTCCTTTCAAAGGCACCCCCTATCAGTCCGTGTCCGCGCGGCTTGCTCGGTTCCTTCGATCCCGAGCCATCTGTCGATCCAGTCCTCGACTCGGCCAACGGCCCTCCCCGATTCCTTTGACCTGCGAACATCCAACTGCACCGGGCAGCCGCAGCAGCGGCGACACACGCAGGCACAACATGTCAAATCCCAACGCCCTCTTCCTCCTCGCCGACCACATCAAGCTCTCGCTCCTCGAGAGGAAACGGGCCCGGTCGCTGGACCTCGCGGCCGGCGACACCCAGGATGGCCACATCGCGCGGTCGCTGGACCAGTTCCGTGAGGGGCTCGAGTCGCTCGACAAGGAGCACAAGCGGCTCGAGGCCGCCGGGGACGAATCGTGCGTCTCGCTCCTGTCTTTTCCTGTCTGTTATGAAACCTACGACTTATGTGTGTGCTGACAGGCCCCTCTCCCCCTTTGCAGAAAAGCCCTGGATCTCGCCGACGCCCTCCCGACGCTCCAGAAGCAGCTAGACGACCTGACGTCGCAGTTCCACGGCTTCTCGGCCCCCTCCATTACCCTGACGAAGCCCAACGACCCATCCCTGGCCGCCGACTTTGCCCACGCCAGCACCGTTCCCAGCATCACCGGTGGCAGCAAGAGATCGGTGTCGGGCGGCAGTGGTCCCAAGACGGTCCGCTTCTCGGACAACACCACCTCGCACGGCGGCGACGACGATGACGACAGGGATCTAGAGGCCGCGCGCTCGGGCCTCTTCGGCGGCGGCGGCAACAACAGCGGACCCTACCGCGACGACCCGGACGGCCCCTCGTACCGGGACCGCGCCGAGGGCAACGACGGCTCGGGCGGGCCGCCCATGGACAACGTGCAGGTCCACGCCTACCACCGACAGGTGCTCGAGGAGCAGGACGCGCAGCTCGACGCGCTGGGCGCGACCATCGGGCGCCAGCGCGAGCTGAGCATGCAGATCGGCGACGAGCTCGACTCGCACGTCGCCATGCTCGACGAGTCGGAGCGCCTCGTCGACCGCCACCAGGGCGCCCTCGACCGCGCCCGCCGCCAGGTCGGCCGCATCTCGAGGTCCGCCGGCGAGGGGCGCCAGATGGCCATCATCATCGCGCTTATTGTTGTTCTGCTGCTGCTCATTGCTATTTTGAAGTGAGAGAGGGGAGGGAGAAAGAGCCTGTCAAAACAGCTTTGTTGGGTTTGCGTGGGTTTTGTGTGTGCGTTGTTTGGTCATTTGCGTACAGACTCCCTTCCCCCCCCCTTTTTTTTCCTTCTACTGTTTCAACACTCTGTGAGCTTTTCGGATACAATATGCATGGGTCGGCGTTTTTATAGCTCTAGGCCAGGATAGCCTCCCTCTCGTGAGTTTTGTTGTTGGGCTCCTTGGCTTTTTTTGTTTTCTCCTTTTCCTCTATTGTCGCAATATCAGGTCGATGGCGGCTAGATGTACATCCATCCCTCATAAAGTGCTTATGTTTGGTATATTTCTCGTCGAGGCCGTGTTGCTCGACAATCCAACAACCAAACCCCCTTTGTTGGCGTCGCACTATAGGATATGAACGGGTAATCACCAAGTCGCGCTCATACACTAGTTGGGGCCAGATTTCATGTCACAAGGCGAACTGTTCACTTTCTTGGGCTTTCAAGGGGTAGGCTGCAGGTGCTGAAGCTAGTAGAACAAGCGGAAGGCTGCTGTTGAGAAGTAGTCTCGCCGAAAAACCGAAGCAACATGATATCCCATCAACCTCGAGCCGACCACCGCTATCAAGTGGCCGATTGTGTCGGTATCATCATTACGCCAAAAAAAAAAAACTTTTAACCATCAAAACAAGGCAGGCCATCCTCTACAAGAAAGCACACACATCTTACCCGAACTCCCACCCACTATCATGCCCCACGCCTCTTGAACTTGCCGCTATGTGCGCCGTTCTGCCTCGGCTGGCTGCCGTAGGCGCGCCTGCCGGCCGGGGCCTTCTTGTCGCGGCTCATGCTGGCCCCGAGCTGGATGTCGACCCGGGGCGGGGTCGCGAAGCCGAAGCTCTTGGCCACCTTTGCCAGGTCGAGCTTGTTGATGTCGAAGACGGAGCGCAGGCTGTGGCTGGCGTAGGCGTGCAGGTACGACCGGAAGCCGTCCTTGGCGCTCTGGTGCAGGTAGAAGTTCTTGCCGATCAGCTTCTCCAGCTGCGACTGCACGTTGGAGACGTGCTTGGTCGGGAACTCGAACTCGACGACCGGCACGCGCGCCTGCTTGAGGTACGTGAGGAATCCGACCTCGCTCGGCAGCAGGAACATGAGGGAGGAGCCCTTCTTGCTGGACCCGCGCGCCGTCCGTCCCACGCGGTGGATGTAGTCGCGCGGGTCGTCCGGGGGGTCGAACTGGACGATCCAGTCTACGGCGGGGATCTGGGGGGTCATGTGTCAGCACAAAGGACACAAAGTGCCGACATGCGGTTCCAAAGGGAGGAGAGTGGCTTACATCGAGCCCTCGAGCAGCAACGTCGGTGCAAATGAGCGTGCCCCTCTCGGCGTTGCAGAACTCAAAGAATGTGTTTGTCCGCTTCTGCTGCTTTTGCTTGCCGTGGAGGTCGAGGACTTGGAGGTCGATGTAGTTGAGCAGCTCGGCGTAGTACTTGACCGAGTTGCAGCTGCTGAAGAAAACGATGATCTTCTTCTTGTGCATCTTTTTGAGGAAGGAGAACAGTAGGAGGAAGCGCTTGTCGGCCTCGCAGACAATGTATCCCTGCTCGACACCCTCGACCGTACTGAACTGCTTCTCCTCGTCCACGTTGAGGTAGAGGGGGCCCGGGCGTAGCGAGACGCGGGCTAGGTCCTCGACCTTTGTTGTCTGGGTGGCCGAGAAGAGCATCGACTGGCGCTCCTTGGGCAGGATCTTGATGATCTGGCGCATCTCGTCCTCGAAACCGATCTCGAGGATCCGGTCGGCCTCGTCGATGACCAGGGACCTCAGGTTCTTGAACACAAAGGGCGTGTTCTGCAGGTGATCCAGCAGGCGGCCCGGGGTGGCGATGAGCAGGTTCACGCCCTTGGACAGCTTCTCGACCTCGGCGCGGCGGTTGGCGCCGCCGATGCAGATGCCGTACGTCTGGGAGTGGAACTGCATCAGGTTGCGCGCGACGCCGAAGATCTGCAGCGCCAGCTCGCGCGTGGGCGACACCACGATGACGCCCGTGCCGTTGCGGGGCTTGAACTTGAGCGACCGCAGCATCTCGACGGCGGGGATCAGGAAGGCCAGCGTCTTGCCGGACCCCGTCTTGGCCGCGCCGAGCACGTCCTTGCCCGCCAGCAGCGGCGGGATGCCCCGCCTCTGGATCTCCGTCATCTTGTCGAAGCCCATCTCCTTGATCGCCTTCATCGTGTTCTCCGACAGGCCGAGCTCGTCAAAGGCCTGCGCGGCCGTGGCGTCGGACGCCTCGGGGAGCGACAGGCCGCTGGGCTGCACGTCGTCGGCGTCCGGGAGCTCCTCGTCGCCGTCGCCGTCGCCGTCGCCGTCTGCGTCCGCGGGCGCATCGTCGGCAGGGCTGTCATCGCCTGCGGCGCTGTCGTCGTCGCTCCATTCTGCCTCGCCGTCCTGCCCCTCGCTGGCCTCGAGCTCCTCCACAGGCGGCGGCGCCTCGACGACGGGCTCGGCCGCCTTGGACTTTTTGGACTTTTTGGATTTCTTCATGGGGACATCGTCGGCCGGAGCAGCCTTGGCGCTGGTGGCCTCCCGGAGCTTTCTCTTCTTGCTGGACCTGTCCTCCATAGCCTCTGGTGCGCTGTTGGTTTCTGTAGACCGTTTCCTACTCATGGTCGCGATTGTGTTGCGCTATCTTGCTGGGCGGAGTTGCTCTTGGTGGCTTCTTTTTTTTTTTTCCTAACAGACGGACGCGAAGAGTGGGGCAAACGGCTAGACCATTCCGCCGATAAGCAGTAGATAAGAACTGATACGGCAGTGATAAGATCATATTGATTGCTTTTTATGCAGCCCGCCTCTTGCCTAATTCATCTGCGCCACGATTCCCAACCCCAAAGGCCTCACTCTAAACACACCTCCTTTAAACCTGGGGCGGTTCCCCTCGATGATTGAAATGTTTTGGCAGTGTCATCCTACTTATTGACCTTTGCTCTTTTCTAATTCTTTGCGCTTTTGTCCGCCGGTTATTAGCAACGAGCTTTCAACGGAGGCAACCTCATTGATACCGCAAACACGGCCATGGTTAAACGGCTAAAGATCATGGTGTCCTGCTCGTATAAAGCGGTGGGCTGCTATTGGACACCGGCCTTCTACATCCTTGTCTTTATCAGCTTCCCTCTGGGCGACATCCAGTCTGCATCCTTCATATATGTCCTATTACTTCACAGCAAGGCCCTCAAGATTTCTTCCCCGCAGGGTCAGCAACGCTCCATGGCAAGCTATAAATAGACTCCATATTATCTTTGAAGGAGCAATTCCGGGAAGGCTTGCTATTCCCGCCATCCCACCCTTCTGGGCCCATGGATGAACGTCATTAACGCCGAGCTTGGACACGATCACCAGTTTTGGGATGGATCACGGCAAAGGTGAACATATAATAGCGTGGCGCCACCACCCTTAACTTCGCTACACCGCCGGCCCGGGAGTGACTTATCGCAGGTAGTATGACGTACCTAGTCAACACCCTCCCTTCCCGACCTGCCCCGGGAAGCTCTGAGGTGGCCAAGAACAAGGATACGGGGTAGCGAGAGGCGTGGGTGGCGTGGACACGGCTCAGGCCGATCAGGGTTGCATTGCAGCATCACGAGAATGGTCTGATTGGGTTCCACGCTCAGAAGGGTATTTCCCCAGCTTTCCGCGGACGCCTGCTGCCTTTCTATTATTGAACTCCTGCGGGGCAGCTGCGCAACACGTCGTAGACATTCATTTTGATCCCGCAGGCTGGGGAAACGGGATCTGAACTCGGCTGCCTGACAAGTCGACAGCGCATCTTGGGGCTACATTTTGCCAGCGGAACGGGCAGGATCTTGGGGTGGGTGATATCCAGGCTCCAGGAATTTCCATGCATGCTTCTTGGTAATATTCCAATCCTGGGTTTACCTGCCCAGCCCCTCGGGTGGGATCACCTATCCGGCTCTAACGGGGGAATCTCGGCAGAAGGCCAAGACTGTCTGCACTCTCGGCGTTTGTGCTCATCCCAATGGCCGGAGAGCCGAGTGAGATATAAAATGGACGGTGGCCCACTGGTTGAGCCTTTTCCCCGTATTACGAGCACCCAAGTCCAAGGATACAGCTCTCCCTTCCTTGAGTGAGGTACATAGCGCGTTCGCCCCCCCTGCCACCACTGCTACGACACAACAAACACGGCCCAACCATGAAGCCCCTCTTCCTCATAACCCTCTTCATCACCCTGGGCGCCGCCCTGGAAACGGCCGCGCCGCTGCTAGAGGCGCGGCAGGCGCGGCAGCGGCGCCCGGCGACGCGGCCCGAAACGTCGCGGGGCGAAGCGCGGCTGTCGCCGATCCAGCGGCCCCTTAACGCGCCCGTCGGCTACAGGGTCGACACGGCGGCGCCGTCGAGGCGGCGTCTCCGCTCGGGGCTCACGCCGCTGCCGCCCCGGTTCATCGACAACCGGCGCCGCAAGCGCGACGAATTCCGCGCCCGCCGCGACGCCCTGGCCCGGCTGCGAGGGCGGCAGCAGGCACTCGACTTTTACGAGTGCGAGAACGTGGTACGTCTGCTGAATCAAGGGGATTGGGTGGACAACCCACCTACATGAGCCCCTGGGTACCTAACGACATCGTAAAAAAAAAAAAACAGAACCCGGCCCCTCGCTCGCAGGACTGCAACGTCATCATCGACCAGATGTACGCGGCCAACCAGGACATCCTGATCCCGACCAACGCGTGCGTCATCTTCGAGTTCAGCACGTGCCGCGGCTTCTTCTGCTCGCTCTGCACCAACCTGCGCGTCAACACAAACTTCATCGGCAACCAGCTCCTCACGGCCGACACGCTGTGCGTCGCCAACGGCCAGGCCGGCACCGCCGTCGGCACCGAGCCGCCGCAGTGGGACGCCGGGTTCGTGAGGGCCGGGGCGGGCCTGCCTTCGTATGACGTCTGCTGAGGTCTGTTTTGAATGGCAGGGGAGTTGGCGGCGTGTGTTTTGGCGATGAATGTGTGTGTGCGTGTGTGTGTGGTGCGCTCTGACGGCTGTACTGTCATCCAAGTGTAGGTTCAGACGGCGGAATATTGCGGGGAGTGGGATCCCCTTACGGCACGGCTAGAGGTATTCAACATGTTCTTTGAGCCTGCCACGGTGGAGGTAGCGCAAACTGAATCCAAACCCCGTTTTAGAAGCCTATATAAAGAAGCCAGCTCCAATCACAAAAGCCAGTTTTGTTGTCTGGCGACCGGGAGAAAGAGCGCTGCAAAAAATGAGAGACAGCGAATGTCTATGATTCAAGTAAAGCCTTGGCCGTGTCTCGACACCCATCTCGCCGTAGGGCCCCATCGATCCAAAATGAAAGCTATGAAAAAAGGTCTATAAGCCCTACCGGACGATTTTTGGGTTTCCCCCCACCTGACAATATACAAAACAGCTGAAAAAATGGGCAGGAGGAGGTAAAGACCGAGATCATGATGCAGCCGAGTTTGAATGCGTCCAGCCGTGTTGTAGAACAAAGTTAAGCTCATTTCCAGGTCTGTTTGGGGTACCAGCGAAAAAACAAGCAACAGTGCGACAGGAGGAGAGAGGCCAAGAAAACGAGAGTAAAACAGCCATGTGTCGCAGTCATTATCGTCGTAATCATCAGTGCAGGGCCTCGGGGACCGGGTCCTCGTGCTTGGCCGTGGACCCCTTGCCGCGCCAGGTGCTGACGGCGTCGATGCCAGCCGACAGGCGCTCGACCTCGGTGCCGTAGGCGCGAGGGGTGAGCTTGATGAGGGTGTGGAGCGGCACGTGCATCCAGGGGCTGGCCGACTGGTCCTTCTCGGTGAAGTAGGCGTAGATGCAGCGCAGGACGGCTTGGTGGGTGACGATTAGGATGTCCTCGGAGCGCTCGAGCTCCATGATGATGGGCTCGAGTCGGATGACGACGTCGCGGTACGACTCGCCGCCGCGGTAGCGGTAGTTGTACTTGTCCTCGTCGCGCGCCTGGAAGTCGGCCGGGTACTGCTCGTGGATCTCCTGGTACGTCATGCCGTCGCACAGGCCCGCGTCCAACTCGTCGAGCGCTTTCCACTGGAGTTGGTTGTAGTGCGGCGGCAGGTGCTGGGCCGTCTGGATGGTTCTTCTAAGGGTCGACGTCCAGACGGTGAGGGGGCGGTTGTCCTGGGCCGGTGGGTGTGAACGGGGTGTCCTGCAGGAGGGGGGGGCCATCAAGGGCCTGGAATGGGGGCTCAGAGTAGAGGGAAACTTACACCAACTGACTTGAGCACAAGGTCTGGTAGCGCCTTGGCGTATTGCTCGCCACGTGGGGACAGGAGCGTGTCACCGCCGATGCGACCTTCGAGGTTGAACAGGGACTCGCCGTGCTAAGGGCAAGGGGGAGGCACACACATGTTAGTCACGTGTTTGTAAACACTTCACCTCACCGTGACGGAACCATGCAAGCCAAGCATGCAGTGACAAACCGGAATTCCAGGGGTAGATGTGGGTAGGAAGGCAGAGGAGGGTCTTTGCACATACACGTGACAGCCACACGGAGCGCGGGCGGATGTGCAGGTTCATCAGGTAGTAGACGACGCGACTCTGGAGGTAGTCCTGGATGCGGTTGATGATGACCTGCCTCCCGACGTCCATTATCTTCAGGTAGGTCAGGTCCTCCTCGTCGCCGTCCCCGTCGATGGTCTTGTAGACCTTTTTGTAGTTCTGGATGCGGCGCTGGAAGTCGTCGGCGGCCTTGTCGGCGTCGACGCCCCTGTAGTCCGGGCTAGTGGTCTTGACGTCGCGGATGTTGGCGAGGATGAGGTTCTCGTCGTCGCACTTGCTCTCGACGAACATGACCTCGATGCCCTGCGCCGTCACCGTCTCGGTGACCCACTTGCGACGCTCCTTGGTCGAGTTGGTGGCGTCGAGGATGCCGACGGTGCCGCCCTCGCGGAACCACTTGAGCATGTCGGCGATGGCGGCCTCGGCGGCGGCCCGCCGCTTCTGCTCGCCGTCGGCATTCTGCGTGTCGAAGAAGTCGGCAGGCGGCTGCGCTGCGTCCTTAAGGCAGCGGCGGTAGTTGCCGACGTTGAACGTTTTTGCCTCGACCGAGAGCCAGCGAAGATACCGTTGGGCTAGGATTCGGGTCAGTCCGGGACGTTTGAGCGGCGTGACATGGGTCGGGCCAGAGCGAAGGCGGCCGACGAGGGAGGGACGATGGGGATGGGTGCAACACAATTTTGCTGCAAAGAGAAGAATGCCCGAAAAAAAAAACCCCCCTTCTCGGGCTGCAGCGGATGCAAAAGACACACCGCTGGGCCCAAGTCTTTGACGTCAAGGCAGGGCAGACAAAGGCAAAACAACTCACCTTTTTGCGCAATGTACGACTTTCCTCTTGCCGGCAGTCCCACCATGACGACGCACAATTTGGCATCCTCGGCGCGGACGCCCACGCCGTTCTGTTTGGGAGCCATGGCCTCGTCCTCCACCGCTTCTCGGCTTTCTGCTGCTTGTCGCCCTGCCGACTTGCAGGCCGGGCACTACTATAAACCGGGGGATGCAACTCTCGACTCTCGTCTCTGGGGAAAGCACCGCAAACAAGCAAGCAGGCAAGCAAGCTGTGGTCTGGTCTCAAGCGCGACGGCAGTGGTCGGGCCTCTGTGGGTTCCTGGAGTGGGCCATTCGTTAGCACTGTCCGCCTCGGATAGCGTTTTGTGCTTGGGGATGCCATTGGGTTCCTGGGCCAGCCCCAAATTCAATTCAGGGGACAAAAATGCCATGGTCGCGTGAGTCGCCTCTTCTCCAGCGCTGCGGGTGCGAGCATGTGGGGTAGCATGGAGACGGCATCCGTCAAATGGCCGCCATGGATGGGCGCCTGGCTGCGTGGCATCCATCACGGCCTGCTGCTACGGGATTCCCCCTTGCGGCCCATTGGACAGGCCAGCTGCCTTCTTGCTGCTTGCCGATGGTGGTGCCGGCAGGGCCAGGACTGCAATTTTTTGGCGGCGTCCCCGGAAGAAAAAGAACCGAGCCAAGACGGGATGCGGTGAGGGAGGGGATGGGGCGCTTGCCTTGCGGTTTTTGGATGGTTTGCTCTTGGTTGCCTTTATTCCCAACGGCTTCCGCTGTGCAGGGCAAAAGCAATACTCGGGCGGCAGCAAAAATCACCGGTTGATAGTACAGGGTGAGAATATTATGTGGTGGTGGTTCTGGCGATGTTGTCGTCCAGCGAAAGGGGTCAAAGCTTATTTTCGTCGTGCTGTTTCTGTGCCGTTGGCTTCTTTGGTTGGCTGCTTGTCCCCTGTTTTTCTGGTACTGTCGGAAAGAAAGCAAGAGCCGAGGATAATTTGCAGAGCTGCTGCGTCCGCGTAGAAGTAGGCGGTCCAAAAAACGTAAATCACTGGCCAGTACCAGGTCGGCAACACGCAGGAGTTGGGTGATGGTGTCGTGGTTGTGTGGCTGGGCGAACGGAATATTAGCGGTGCGTAGCCGGTGACAGCCGAGTTTGCTCCCTTTTCTATTTTTCCTTTTTTTTTTCTCACCCTTTTTGTTTTCTTAGCGAAAGGTGGCCGCGCCAGCCTGACTTCTTGCTCGGTGAGCAACTTGGTTTGTCAAGACATTGAGAGTCAAAAAAGAACGCGGGTCCGCAGACAAGTCCTCGGGCCTGCCCGCCCTGGGTCTCGTTGCAGTGGCGTTCTTGCTGGGCTTGGCTGGGCCGACTTTGGACAAATTCGACAGGCATGAATATAGCTCGCTTGCGTGCGAGCCACGCTTTGGCGGCCCGGGTGATGACATAGCCAGCAGAATCGGACAGCAGGCAGACATGGACCAAAGCCCATCTTGCTAGACTCGGACTAGCGGCTGTGACAACCCTGCCCATTAGTGCCGATCCCAGCCCACGGCTTGCCGCGTAGCTTCTACGGCCCTCACTGCCATGTTTGTGGTGAAGCCTTTCAGTTTGGGGCAATCTCGAGGAGAAAGCATGACCAACAGGGTGCTTGCCCCGGAGAAATCAGGGCGCGGGCGCACAAGCAGGATCCACGGACAGCCCGCCTGGGTTCGGCCTGTGGATCCAAGGTGAGCACGTGGGGGGCCCTTGCCATGTTTGGCCGCAGCCGCACGTTGCACGTTGCCGGGGCTCAATGGCCAGCCAATGCAGCATCCCGTGTCGGTCCCTGCAACTTCCGAATAATCCCGATTGCCCCCAGCGAGCGGTCGGTCACCGCCGAAATGCCGTGGGGGTACCATCCCGCCCATCTGGCGGCCGTATCGTCCTAGCAAAGTTGTCAGTGTAGGTGTTTTGTACCGTCTTGTTTATAGAGAAACCAATCTTGCTTCCTGACCTGCTTTGTGACTTGTGTTTTCTTTGTCGGGACTCTCGTGTCGCAGCTCGTCGCGGGAGTCTGCACGCACCTAAGGCACACTGTCACGTTGCCTGGAACTGGAAAGAAGCCTCAACGCACGTTGTATAACAAACTGCACAAGCGGGGGGACAGGACGCCACAAACAACACGGCATCTTCTGAACCAATTGACAGCAACTTAGCCCTCAAAGTCATCATGTTCGTCAAACCACGATTCCCAGCATATGCCCGGTCCAATCGTGTTCTAGATCATCTTGAGTAGAAATCCCACGAGAATGAAGAGAGAAAGCAGTAAAGATCGCACAAAAAAACAGGTACGCGCAGTTATTCCATGAGATATCACGAGCCCCTCTGCAAGGCGTTGCATCGTCCGTCAAGCTAGTAGAACGGCCTCGAGATGAACGTGAGCTCGGCGGCCTGGACCTCGAAGCCAACGGCGACGTTGTTCAGGAAGGCAGCCCCCAAGATGTAAGGGCCTTGGCCTCCCCTCGAGATGGTGGTTGCGCAAAGACCGGTGTGCGCGTTGGGTGAGTCGCGGATCATCATGTCGGCCGGGTTGACGAGGAAGGCGGTGCCACCGATAACGACAGAGAACGATGGCGATGTGGCGTCGCATGTGGTGTAGTAGCGGCCATACTCCCAATTGTAGTCGGCTGTGGGCACGAAGGCCTTGTTGATGGCTTCCGAAAGACCTGTGGGTGTGACGCAGACATTAGCTCCGAGACCATCATTTGATGTGTTACGCAATGCTGAGATCCATAGCCAGACACTAGAAGGCATAGCACAGGCTACTTACGAGGCGGTAGGTAGCTGACGGGAGAGCCTGTGTCAATGATGTAGGGGTGACTGGCGGCATCCTTGGTCGTCCCGTAATTAAAGCCATCAGGGACGATCGTGTAGAACGATACGTGGTCAGCCGTAAAAGGGTCGTAGTCAAGTTGCGTCTGAGGAGTTGTGAGTTAGATTGACCAATGATGAAACCAGGCAAGGGATGAACAGCTCACAATAAGGACCGGAACAGTGGACTGGCTGGCGGATTTCAGACCAGGGACGTCGGGCATGCCTCCCCATGAAATAACACCAGCGGTACCATTTCGTCCCAGGGCGATACCAAACATAGGCTTCTCGACAAGCCCTTGGTCAATCATGCTCGTAAATAGAGTCGGGTACCTGACGCGGTGAGTCCAGGCAGTTTCGTTGTCTCTGTAGAAATGGCTTATGGTCGGGTAGCCTAGGCCAATGACGCCACTCGTGTCGTTGTTGGCGTTCCAGTATGTGCGGTTGGCCAGTGCGATCTGCTGCTTGACAACCGCAATGCCGCCCACTTGGACGTCCGAGTAGCCCACCGCCCCCGACGCCATCTCGCCGTTGGGGAGTTTCACAAACATGTGCTCCCTGGTGATGGGGCCATAGCTGAAGGTGCGGCCCTTGGGGAAGGTCGAGTTGAACTGGCAGTCGGTAAAGTTGACGTCCCAACCATAAGAGTTGAGGCATTGGGCATCATGGGCAACAGCCCACAGGTCCGCACTGCCAGTGTCGACGAGTAGATTGAGGGTTACGTTGTCGATAGAGACAGGGATGGAGTACTTCAGGCCATGCTCGGCTGTGATATTCTCGTAGCCCTGGGGCAGGCCGGCCGAGTTTGCGCCGCTGGGATTGGCGGGATCAGCAGCAGCCGCTGCAGCCTTGCGGTGAAGAGCGCCGAGCAGAGCGGAGGCGGAGCGTGGGTTGGCGGTCAAGGGCCAAGCCTGTCCTGGCGCGGGCACGTTGGCAAGCAGGGGCTGCTGGTAGACGGCGCCGATGGCAGGCTTACCAGTCGCCGCCCGAGCGGCGGGATGCTGCTGAGGCGGCACCGTGATCAGAACACCGGGGACTTGGTCGATAGAGTTCAAGACCTGGATAGCATCCTGCTTGCTGTGCTGCGCGGCGAGGACCGTGATGGCGCTACAGGCGAGGGTGGCGAACAGCGCCCGCTTGAGTACATTGCGTGCCATGGTAGGCTACGCGATCACCGCAAGATCTGAGGAGTGCTTGTAGCAGAACGCTCTTCTTCAAGAGGCACCTTGGCTTTCCGGCACTTGTGACGGCGCTTGGAGTCGTTAGTGGTGAGGTTTAGGGTTGGCAGCATGAAGCATGCCTGGAGAGGAGTGGAGGGATGGAGGTAGGTGGTAGAAAAGGGTGGCAGCAAGAACCGGCCCCGGATTTTGGAATAAGTGAGGAGGAGGGTGACCTTCAAGAGGATTGACAAGAACGGAAGGACCAACGGGGGCGTACCTGCCGATTTGGTTGCTCCGCTGCCGACAAACCGGCAGTTACGCCCACCACAAAAGCGACGGCAGTCTCACCAAACAACAGAAAGGGTGCGAGGACTGTAGGAGCAGGAATAGGAGTACAAGTAAGAATAACAACAGAAATAATGAAAGGAAAAGAAAAAGAAAAAAAAGAAACCCATAGCACTAACAATTTTAATCACTGGGACTTGTGAGACTGCCATCTTCTGTAGTGGGCGTGACTAGTCTCCATAACGCCATTGAAAAGCTGGAAAAGCAGAATGGGCATCGGGCATTGGGTATAGAGTCAGCTTGCTCTCGGTCGAAAACCCCTCATTCCGAGAAGCAAGGTGATGCAACAAAAGCGTGCGTTGTACCAAAACGGGGTACACATTACCCGAAAGTCTGCCGCGTGCTGCCATACGTCTTGGCGGATATACTATGGATCCCATTCGTGATCCATCCGTATGCCGTCTGTCAAGCGGCTGTGTTATCCGAGTTCTCAAGCGGATGTTTGCTGGGCGTTCCGTTGGATTTCCAGAACAGGTAAACTACGCGGCCCACGATGCTCGAGAATGCCGGAACTAGCCTGTCAACGGGGAGCAAGAGCACTTGATTTCTGCCGACGTTGGACATTCTAACCTCGAGTCCGGCGTGTTTTACAGCCGTGGTTCCGCAAAGACTTGTAGAATACCATAGATGTGGGGTTGAGTGCCGAATACTCTCCTTCTAGGCGCTATTATTGCAGACTAGTTGCTAAAGAAAAGTGAGATCCGATTCAAGACATTTCTGCAAGTCTTTGGTAGGGAGCGACTTTGCTTGCCGTCAGCTGCTCGAGGACGGCGAGATGTTCTATTGCTATGGGTTTAGACAAGGGTTTAAGCATTGCTACCCAAGTTTGCGTTTTCTCACTCTCTTTACATGTTTCTAGATTCGCAGATTTGACGGTCAAACAGGTTCTGCAGGCAGACGTGTCAAATGGGAGGCATTAATGGTCCTTTTTTTTTTTTTTTAGACGCTCGTTGACTCTACCCAGGCACGCCGTCGCTCCTTTGATATCGGTGGACTATCTGGTTTGAGGAGTGTCAAGTTTGGAGGTGGTGACTAACAGCACATGCTGCCGAGAGTCGGCCAATGAGGTTGGAACGGACTGCGACGTGTGGAATTGCGTGCGAGTCTGCGCATTTCAAAACTGACCCCATTGATACCAACCTCAAATAAATAACTCGAATTCCGATCTGCACACATGCACTCAATAGTGCTCAATTCCACCTCAATCATCCAAGATTATACTCCTTCTCATCCCTTCAAAACACCAGCTCACCTCAGGGCACGCTGCGAAATGGCCTCCAGTGCGCTGAGCCCTGGGCAAGGCCCGCTGTCGATCATGTCCAAAATCTCGCCCATCGCCTATCTCTACCGCCCCTCGGCGGAAGTGACACCGGAGCCAGAGTCCGTCTCGGAATCACCTTCGCCCAAACTCATCATCGTGTGCAGCTGGATGGGCGCAAGGGACCAGCATATCGCCAAGTATATAGTGCGATACCAGGCATTACATCCAACCTCGCAGATCTTGCTGATCCGGAGCGAGTTCCCTCACGTGCGGGACCCGGACTTCGCCCTCCGCGAGCTCCAACCTGCCGTGCCTGCTTTGCGTGCCGTCTTTGGCGACGGCCCGGCCACTCCCCCTCCGTCGGAGCCCGAGCTGTTGGTCCACCTCTTCTCAAATGGCGGTTCGTCCATGCTGTGCCACCTGTATAGCGCCTACGAGCCGTCGTCGCTGCCGCGCCACGTTACCATATTCGACTCGGCTCCCGGCCAATGGGCCTACAAAAGCGGCCTGGCGGCCATATCGGCAGGCATATCGGGCTGGAAGCGGTTCCTGCTCACGCCCTTTCTTCACGCCGCAGTTATCGCCTACTATGTCACGCACTTCATCCTTCCCTGGAACCGGGCGCGAGGCGACAACTTTGCACGATGGGCCACGACCCACAACAACCCCGCAATCAACTCGACCGAGGTTAGGCGCGCATACATTTACAGCAAGGAGGACAAGCTGGTCGGATTCGACGCGGTCGAGGAGCACGGCCGTGGCGCGAAGGAGAAGGGGTTCAACGTCCGATTGGAGAGGTTTGTCGGCACCGATCACGTGGCGCACGCAAGGGGTGAGGCGGAAAGATACTGGCGCATCGTCGACGAGACGTGGCGAGGGAGTGCCTAGAATCTGGCTGGCAGCCCTGTGGAAGGATTATCTGAGGTTGGCGTGCATGGGAGGAGTGGAGTTGGCAAATCACAATCGACTGAGGCGTGATGCGGCTGCCGCGGTTGGAGAAGACCCTTGCAAAGACCCTTCCAATGAAGCGCCTGTTACCTCCATGGAGCGTGTTAACGTGCTTTTGGGGACGACTGGCGGCTACGTCACCACAGCCACAGCTGACTGGGTGGCGGTGCGAACTGCACCAAGCGAGGATCAAAGTCAACCATTTGTTGAGCGCATTCAAGAAGAAAAAAATACTAGAATTGGATGACCGAATTCATGGCTCGTTCCTGAGCCTGCAACTCTTCCTTGCGTAATCCACACCCAGTTGGGGTCTGTGGGGAAGTCGGAAGCCTACTCAATCCGCCTTGCTCAGCTCGCGCCAACGCGGGGTGACGCAAGCTCCGGTTGCTGGCCCTGCCTCGCCTGTCGTCAGCTTCCCTTCTGCAAGCCAAGGTAAGACAGGCACGCGGCCCAGCTTGTGCCACACCAACCCGCACTGCTCGCAATCCTAGCCTTCGCACACTCGTCCTGTGCGATCCCACCGCAATCCCCTTTGACGACCAGTCTTGGGAAATGCTGGGTGCATGTTGCAGAACCATGTGTATCTAGCGGCCAGCATGGTCCAAGCACCGCAAGCATCACAAGCATCACGAACAGACCGAGGCGCCTTATCCCGTCGACCGTGCCACCTCTGATCTCGCCACCTCTCGTCAGTCAGCTTCGTCGCCGGCGATTGCTCCAAGCAGCAATAATCCGAAGGGCACGCCTGGTCAGCTCGGGCCCGAAGCCCAAAACGTTTACAGCAAACAGGCCTGCCAGGGCTACGTCGGCCCCGCTACAATGGTAACCCGCAAGCCAATTCCCGACAATGCCTCCCTCGAGTCCCCCATGACGACAAGGCCCGGGCCCTCGGACGAAAGACGTCAGATGTGGCCGGGAACAGACGGCTCGTCCAGCCCGGAAAACATCTGGGGCGCCGAGCAATCTCAGCACCAGCCGACGCCGAGTCCTGGTCGTGGCTCCGACGGCGGAAGCACGAGCATGGCCACAGTCATCTCCGACCCGCTTCAGTCCGGGGTCACCCCTCCCGGACCGCCGTCCGCCAGCAAGTACTCGGCTTTTGCTGCGCCCTCGGACGAGAATGTCTGGAGTGACCACACATCGATGTCGCTCACTGCAGACCGCACTGGCGGTAGCGCCGCCAATCTCATTGCCCCGGACGCTCTCAGGCCTGGGGCCCACAGGGCCGAGACCAACCCGTTCAAGCGGAAGCCCACTCCCAACTCTGCGGCACACAGCAGTGACCAGCCTGCGTCGACTCCTCTAATCCTGACCGAACCGCCGACGCCTCCAACTGCCCCATTCTCCCAGTTGAATATCTCGAACGATGCGAGTAAGAATCCCTGGGGGCCCGCCCTCGATGATAAGTCGCCACAGCAGCCACCACCGCAGCCACTGGCGGCGACGCGGTTGGCGGAGCAAGACGAACTGGGAAATGACGTCTGGACCTCGGCCAACGTGTCTGCCGACGCATCCAGGAGGCCATCAGACAGTAATTTCACAGGCTCGCCGTCCTTAATCTCTTTCCCTACGGAGGAAGATGGTTCCGCAGCTTGGGACGAGGTAGTAGCACCACCGAAGCCACGTGCACCCGTCGGGGCTACTGTGGTTGAGGAATATGAGGACAGACACGCATGGGACGAGGTTGGCGGCGACAAAGCCAAAGGCAAAGCTCCGGAGCAGCCGCCGGCTGCATCCGCCCAGGACCTGGCCTCTAGTACTGGCCACGGTAGCGACTGGAACTTTGTCGACCATGACCCGCAACCTGGACAGTTGTCACGGCGAAGCACATGGGAAGATTTCGAAGACACACCGCAGAAACTTCGTGCAGAGAATAACGCCAAAAATACAATGAAGGAACTCCACGAGACCCCTCAAAGAGCGCCTGCTGAGACCCTGATCGATGTCTCTGAGGGGTCCCATGGCGAGCCGCAAGGACAGCCCGGGCCCCCACCACCGCCCAGGACGTCGAGCGCAGCGGCTCCATCACAACCACCCCGACCTGTTGACGGAAAGGCTGAGACGTATCAGATCAAGAATATCAACTGGTACGACGCCAGCGCGAGTTCTAACCCCCGGACTTCCCCGATCCTCGTCCAGAACGAAAATGGGCCATGCCCCTTGGTGGCGCTTGTCAACGCCCTGACCCTGACCACGCCGGCAGGCGTGCAGACGGCATTGGTGGAAACACTACGGTCCCGCGAGCAAATAAGTCTCTCCTTCCTGCTCGACGCCGTGTTTGACGAGCTCATGTCGCCGCGCAGGCTCGCCGAAGACACGTCGCTCCCGGATATCACAGAACTTTATAGCTTTCTCAAGGGCCTGCACACTGGCATGAACGTCAACCCACGATTCGTACCTACAGCAGAAGTCATCAAAGCTTTCAAGCGGACTTCTCTCACGCACATTCACCCAACGGAGCGCAGCGACAACATGATCCCTGGAACTTTCGAGGACACGATGGAGATGCGGCTTTACTCTACCTTTTCTGTCCCGCTGATACATGGATGGCTGCCACCGCCGGGCGACATGGCGTACGATGCCTTTGCGCGCAGAGCAGAGTCCTACGAGGACGCCCAGAACCTGCTATTCCGCGAAGAGGAGCTCGAGGACCGATTGATGAGCGGCGGCGGCCACGGACAGGAAGGAGAGGGCCTGACGGAGGAGGAGCAGGGCATATACCAGGACATCTTGACGATCAAGTCATTCTTGGCCGAGTCGGGAACGCAACTCACACGGCACGGACTCGAGGTCATAACGGCGGCCATGAAACCTGGCGCGGTTGCGATTCTGTTCCGGAACGACCATTTCTCAACGCTGTACCGCCACCCACAGACGCTGAGTCTTCTGACACTCGTCACTGATGCGGGCTACGCAAGCCACGCCGAGGTGGTATGGGAGTCCTTGCCAGACACGACGGGAGAAAACGCCGAGTTCTTTTCTGGCGACTTCCGTGTCGTCGGAGGTGCTACCCAGCACCAGCAGGAGACGATGGGCCGCCCACCACAGCAGCATCAGCGCTCTGTGTCGGAAGGCGGCGACAGGTGGACGGCGGTCACGGGTAGGAGAGATCGGGGCAATGGCGGCGGGTCTTCGGCGATTGGGCCGACGATGAGCCCCAACGACGGGCCGCCGCTGTCTCCCAGCTCCGAGCAAGAGGACCGCGACCTTGCGCTGGCGATGCAGCTACAGGAGGAAGAGGACGAACAACATCGCGCGGAGCAGGCGCGAAGGCAACGGGAGAGACAGCTGTCGGAGCAATTTATCGAACAGCAGGCGCGGAGAAATAGCGCCGCGAGTACCAGTCCTGTCGGTGGTGCTGGGAACGATGGGGCTTTCACTGGCGGTGGCTTGGTGTCGCAAATTCCCAATGCCCGCCGAGGCTCGAGCGCAGCTGGTCAGGCCCCTATAACCTCTCCAGGCAACCAGGGGAGACGGGTGCACTCTGTTAGCGGCTCGGGGGGAGGGGGCAATGGCCGTGGCAACGCGGCGTCGGAAAGGACACAGGTCCGGCCTCTCCTCACACCCGTGGCGGCGACGCAACGGGCGGCCGATGCTGGAGAAGACGCGCCGCCACCATCGTATGAACAGGCGTCTAGGCAACAGGCCTATATCCCGCCAGAGGGGCACCCGAGCCATCCTGCCAGCAGCCCGCGCGGCTCCACGGCCTCGGCCTCTATAGCGGCCAGTTCGCCCAGAGCTAGTAATACTGGCGTGAGGCAGCGGGGTGCAGTAGCCGGGACAGGGCCATCCTCGTCGCATTATCCGGGCGCCCGGCCTATGAGGCAGGGCGTCCCGCCTGCGAGTGGCAATGCTGGGAGGGATAGGGACTGCGTCGTCATGTGACAGGCTGTGCGTCTTGCTTCCTCTCAGGCTGTGACTCAAGCAGCGCTCTTTTGGATTAGTTTTATCCTTTTTTTTACCCTCTTCACCTTCTCCTTGTCTCGGTTATTTTTGGCGGCATGCGGGGGATGGAAAGATCAAGTCATGATATATGGAGACTAGCATCGGTATGAAGCCGGGAATGGGCAATGATAACGACTCTGGCCCATGAGGCCGGTTTTGGGACAGGTGGTTGAAGCAGGCTATGGTGGAAATTACGTGATATGATTTATTACATGAATACTAGTAGCACTATGCAAAGTCTGTAGAATGATGGCTGTTGCACGCAAAGACACGTGTCCGCCGCACCTTTTACACCATTCCTCTACAGACCCAGTCACCACGAACAACTCCCAGCTTGGAGGCGGGAGAGAGCATCAAAATACCAATCTTCACGACAGAAGCACCGGGTTTAGGAGATGTGAGTCAAGATTCTCCCCATTTGTGATAGTTTCTGGGTGGCTGGGCATCGAAGTTAGATCTGGAGGCACACAGATAGGCAGGCAGCCCCCGCGGTGCCATTCCCCGAGAGGCTGCCGGCAATTCATGGTCAAGACTGAGTTGACTAGAAGCGGGTTCAAACCTGGAAAATTGTCGTGACGTAGGTGTTGGGACTCGGGCTCCCACAGCAAGAAGAAGAAAAAAAGCCCTCACACAGCCCTTTGACTTTCTTGACTCGGGGGCCTGCGGCTTCTCTCCCCTGCACCCACGGCAGGGAGCATGCCGGTGCATCCATCCCCGCCCGGTTAGATCCGGGGAGGGCCTTCTACGACGGCGGCAGGCGGGCACAGTACCGCTGCATGCATGCATGCACGGCCCCCTCGATCTCCTCGATCGGGGCCTGCGCGTTGGGATCGGTTTGGCGTGTGGCGGCGCCCTCCCTCCCAGGGGTGTGTCCCCCGGTGCCCGCGCGCCCACCGACGGCGGCCGAGGGAGGAAAAAAAAGGCAAGATTCGGGGCCGGTGGAGGGGCGGGCCTGGGGGGTCCGGGGTAGGGCTGCATGTTGTTGGCCGTCTTGGGTGGTTTTGCAGCGCCAGCTGATGGGTCGACAAGCACCCGTTTTGGTACTGCCCGTCCCCGCTGCCCGCGACCAAAGCTCACCGTCGCCAGTGTGGATCGGTGGGTGCGGCGTGAGAGAGGGGTAGGGAGAGGAGCAGAGAGGGGCAAGGAGGAGGAGCAGACGCTCCGGGCAGTTGGCGGCGGTGTTGTTTAGTCCGCAGCCATCATCCCCGGAGCTGTGTAGCGTAGACCCGATTCCCAGCCGCGCATTACCGACTGTCAATGCCACTTTTCTTCTCTATTTCCTTTCTTTCTCTATTTTCTTTCTTTCTCCAACCACCTATCTGCGTCGCGCCTGGGCTCAGCGGGCTGAGCCACCGACACACAGAGGGGCAAACTCAACGGCTCGGGTTGACGTCACTTTGAACCCCTGATCGGACGAAGGGTTGTTTGCGTCGTGCACGCATGGGTGCGGAAGGCGAAAAACCGTTCTCACACAAAAATTCTGTAACACAATGGGCGAGGGTCAAAGCTGGGACGGTCGTCATCGGCCACTTTGTTCGCCATCCCTGCCGGGGTCCTCGGAACAATGGGATCCCCGATCTCGCTCGGCTGCCCGCGTCGTTCGCCAGCACCAACAAGGACAGCAAACCCGACAGTCCCAGCCCCTTCTGTCACCAAGCATGTCCCCTCAGTCCGGGATCCGATGCTGTCACTTTCAGGTCAGACAGCGGGAGAGAAGAACAGAGAAAGGCTGTGGCTAGGTGACGTTTCAATAAGACCTATTACCTAACTATGGCCATCATGGGGTGGCTAGCAAGAGTCGCGAGGACTTGGGTACCCCGGCCAAGATGTCGCGGGGAAGTATGCTCCCTAAGTAGGCGGTAGGAATACTATGAAGGTGATCTGGGGCTATATTACGTCGGTTCGACTACCCTTCCTCCCAACACCCTTTTGTCCCAGCTCATCCACCGACTCATCTTCAACGTTGAACCCGTGAGAATCATAATCTGACCTATAACCCATCACCAATATTGCTTCCTTCTCCTGCTAAGAAGGATAAAAGTCTATTAGTTCTCCCACCACCTCCTTACCCTTACACCTACCCTCCCCGAATCCTGAGCACATCACACACATTCCAGGGAAGCCAACCCCGTTCCCATCACCGAAATGGCGGCTATCCCAGAGCCCATGGCCACCGACGGCGAGCCAATCCCTCATGTCCAGACAGTCCCTTCAGCATCCCGAGTGCCCCAGCTCCAGCCAGCACCCTCCTACCGGGCAGCAGCAGCAGAAGTAGCATCGCCACCACAGCCCACCGAGTCCGTGTCGGACGGCGGCGGCGGCGGCGCGGCCGAAACAGCGACCGCGGGTCACCAGCGCAAGACCTCGAACGCCTCCAAGCGGTCTCGGGGGCGCGCCCGCTCGCGCGCCCGCGCCGGCACCGGCGACTCGACCGTCGGCGGCGGCAGCCCGCCGTTAGGGCGGGGGTCGGGCCGCAACGGCGAAGACTTGTACTCGGACGACGGCGAGGGTGACGACAACAACGCCCAGGCCCCGCGCCACCCGGGCCGCCCAGCCGCCCGCTCCACGCGCCCGCCGCGCGCCTACCTCAACCACCCGGCCTACGCCGGCGTCGAGTCGCCCGCCAAGATGGTCGTTGAGGAGACCAAGGGCGCCGCGGGAGCGCGCGAGCACTACTACTACACCTACGACGACGGGCCCGGGCCCGAGACGGGCAGGACAACGGCCAGGCCGGGGCCGGGGGCCGGCCGCTACCCACAGCAGCAGCAGCAGCAGCAGCAGCAGTACGACGAGGAGTACGGCTACGGGCCGGCCATGATGACGCCGGGCTACGGGCGCGGCGGCGGCGGAACCGCGCTCGGCGGGCGGTTCAGCGCCGACTACCCGCCGCGCATCAACTGGAACCAGCTCTCGCGCGAGGAGCGGGCCGAGGTGCTGCGGATCCCGTGGACGCAGTGGATGAACAGCGACATCAAGAACCACTTCGTCGCCACCATGGGCGAGCTCATCGGCACCACCATGTTCCTGCTCTTCGCCTTTGCCGGCACCGGGGTCGCCAACACGGGCTCCAGCCCGGACGGGCCCTTCAACGTGGGCGCGCAAATGTACATCAGCCTCGCCTTTGGCTTCTCGCTCATGGTCAACGTCTGGATCTTCTTCCGCATCAGCGGCGCCCAGTTCAACCCGGCCGTGACGCTGGCCATGCTGCTCGTGCGCGCCATCGGCGCCGTCCGCGCCGCCTGCCTCTTTGCCGGCCAGATCGCCGGCAGCCTGCTGGCCAGCGTCATTGTGCGGTACCTGTTCCCGCAGCCCTTCGCCGTCCGCACGGCCCTGTCAAAGACGACGTCGCTGCCCCAGGGCGTCTTCATCGAGGCCGTCCTGACGGCCGAGCTCGTCTTCACCATCTTCATGCTCGCAAAGGAGAAGCACAAGGCCAACTACATGGCCCCCATCGGCATCGGGCTCGCCCTCTTCATCGCCGAGATGGCGGGCGTGCCCTACACGGGCGGCTCGCTCAACCCCGCCCGCAGCTTCGGGCCCTGCGTCGTCACCGGCGTCTTTGAGTCTGAGCACTGGGTCTACTGTACGTTTTCTCCCTAGATCCCCCAGGCTTTCTTGCCCGTGGCTTTCTTGCCCATGGCTTTGAGCTGATCACCATCTCCAGGGCTCGGTCCGGCCATCGGCGCAGTCATCGCCGTGGTCTTTTACCAGTTTATCAAGATTCTCGAATACGAGGTACGACCAGAATACCCGCCGCCTCCCAGACGCGACCCTTTTGCTCTGACACTTTCCTCCACAGATGGCGAACCCGGGAGCTGATGGGGATCAGGAAAACGATCCGACCAAGAACCCGGTCAAGAGGGCTGAGCTCATGATGAACCGCAAGGTAAGCACGAGGCCCCCGACAAGGCACGGAGAAGCCTAGGAGTGACAAGGGAAACAGTTCGCAAAGAGTGAGATATGACCCGACTCGAGGTCTCTGCCTCCCCCTGTTTCCCGCATATTTTGTCCTATTTCCTTCACTGCTGGATACATTTCCTGTCATTTCCTTCTTTCGTTATATCTCCCTTTCCCCTTTTGTCTTTTGCTATGACCCGAGATTCCCATATGCCGTCGAGGCTTCCCAATTTCCATCTTTCTCCTTGGGGCTCGCATCTAGCTAGAGCCTAACATCTGCTCGTTTCCCGTTTAATCCAAATCAAATACATTGTCGATCCATCTGGCCTGCCTAGAACATGACGACATGTCAGGTTGGGATGCCGAGTTGGGATCGGGAAAAGCCATCTCGTGAGCTGATCGGGTGAATAGATCAAAATGCTCTAGAAACGACCGTTCCGGGTGGCCCATATGACGCAACCTTCCTAGACTGACTCTCCGACTCGCTGTGATACCACTGAATGTCTATCCAGGATACTGTGCTCCGTATTTCCCACCGCGAGCATGTCCTTCTAGAGCAAGTAGCTTTGATGACAACAGACCACAGAACCTCATGTGTGCGGCATTTGCCACCTCCTGCCTATACCTGCCGTTCCAGACTCGACCAACGACCAGCCTCCATTGTACACCTCGCACTTGAGCCCATGTCAAGGAGACCAAAAGGGGCGGCGCAGGAGTCTTTTGTCGGATGAGCTTTGGCCACGGGAACGCCCACGGCTCCCACAAAGGAAGGACCCTGCACCAACAGAGGCTATACTGTCCCCTACAGATTTAGCACGGCTTTGTTCCCACCAATAGAAGCCACAGCCACTCTCAGTGCGGCCATCGCTCACCAAAGGGCCACCCCTCTCCGCCCTGCCGCCTGATCCCCGCGGCTGGGAGGCCTTCCGTTGTTGTTTGCGCATGCCCATCGACAAGGCCTGAAGATCACCGCCTTTTGTGATTGTTTCAGAGGTGGTAAAAACGGGGATCTGATGCATGGTGCATTTTCCCGATCCCCTTTGGGTTGGATAGACTAGACCCATCGCAGCATACCCCTGTCTCTCATCAAGTCTGATTCTGGGGGTCCCTAACCGCTTTGGCCGTCCCCTCCCGACTTTCTCTTGAGTCCCATGTCCTGCAAGACGGGAGATGCCGGGATGGTGCCGGACACCAAAAAGGCGGACGAAAAAACGTGAGTCTTTCGTCATGCCACCTGCCACAGGCCGTGTTGCCGGCTTCGCAACTTCCAGGGAGGGCAGCCCTTGGTGTCTGCCCCAGCCATCTCGCCAGGAGGCCGGCCAACATCGTGATTTTTTCTGTCTACCTTGGCCAAGGATGTGCCTGCTGGAACATAGTGCCCAGGGCCCTGTTCCAAGGAGGCTGGGTTCTTGAGGGTCGACAAAAAAGGCCACCCAACATACCTTGCCCATGCTATAAGAACCAAGGCTGGAGTGGATTTATAGTACAAGGGAATCTCGTGGATACCAGTTGGTCATATGTACAAACATAGCTGCCGAGATCCTTACCAAGTGCCAGATCGAAGATCAGTCACGCGGCCCGGTCATGGAAAATGGACCAACGTAACCGAGCAAGCCCAACCCCGATATAGCCTTAGTCGTTCCTATTATCCAGCCATTCTCTCCATACCAGAATACCAGCCACCCCGTGCAGGCCGCCCCTCAACCGGCCCAGAAAACCGCACCACGGCTGCCCTCCTACAGCACCCCCGGGATGACGGCCTTCCTCCTCCCAATCTTCTCGGCCCCAAACTTCTCCACGTACCACCGCTTGCCCCTCACAGCCCTCGGCAGCATACTCGCGACCTCGTTGACCAGGAACGCCCTCGCGGGCGCGCAGCCCCAGCCGCACGCCATCCAGAAGCCCAGCCACTCGACCCACTCGAAGAAGTAGTGCGGGAACAGCAGGTACTTGAAGAAGCCGGCCTGCGGCACCGCGTAGTGCCTCTCCACCTGCGCCGCGCCGCCCTTGTTGCCCTGCTCCCGCGCCACCTTCTCCCTCCGCCTCTCCTCGCGCCTCCGGATCTCGCGCAGCTCCTCGTCGTGGTAGTAGTTGGCCGTCAAGCCCAAGTAAAAGATCCCCATGCCGGCCACAAACTGCGCCACCCCGCCGGGGGCCAGCCGGTCCCGCCACTCGACCTGGGTCGTCGGCCCGTAGGCGCCCAGCCAGGCGCCCAGGCAGAAGCCGTTGCAGAGCTGGAACAGCACGGCGGCGGCGGCGATGGCGGCGTGCATGGGCGCCATGGACGGGGCCACGAGCGGGAACACGACGGCGCGGTAGGCGTAGTGGATGACGAAGAGCGCCGCCAGCACCTTGTTCTGCCAGGGCAGGTCCTCGATCCCGCGCGCGCCCGGCAGCGTGCCCACCATGTAGAGCAGTGTCGCGAACCCGGGGCACTCCATGGCCATCCAGGTGGCGCGGCCCGGGAGGTTGAGCGCGCTGGCCTTGGAGGTCTTGCCCATGCCGTACCACGAGATGAGCCACTGTATCGAGGCGAGCTATTTGTTTTGTTGTCCGGCGTCAGCAGCAGCTTTTCCTCCTCAGCTCACTCGGGCGCGGGCGGGGGGGCCTCGATGGCGGGGTCGTCAACTCACGACGGGCCAGAACTGCCAGTAGAACAAGACCGTCTCATAGTTCTCCCTTGTTGGAGGGATCCAGTCCTGGATTATCGCCATGTCGCGCTTTGGTTACTGTTGATGTTGCGACTGCAGCAGAATTCCAAGTCTTGGGGATTGTCGTTCGATTTGCTGCGACGAGATTGAACGAACGACTTCGCCTCGATCGAATGCCGCTTAAATGAGAGGTCAAAGCGTTCGTCCCGGGCTTCCGGTTTGGGGGTCCGGATTGCAGCATTGACAAATAGTTCCTCACGATTACCGCTTCGTCTTTCTGATGTCATTTCTGGTAGATAGATCGGCTCTGATAAATAACACGCCAAACCCCAAAATCCCCCGCCCGCCGGGTCTCCATGACAGGCTAACAGTGAGGGGAAATTTCCCACACATCGTCCGCCAACAGCTATCAAACCCATAATCCAACTGTTCACGAGGCGCCATCACCATGGAAATCAGCGTACCCGCGACTCTGCCTACCTATTACCTGCCAGTCCGCAGACCCGGCCCAATAGGATTTAAATTCCACCGGGCACGTGGCCTAATTAGGAAGTTCCACCATAGAAATCGATTTTTGTAATCCTGGGACCGTATGTACCCTTGCTTCAGATCTCCAGTCTTCCCCAAACCGCAACTGCCCACCACTTCGGCCTGCGCAGTCGGCACGGCTCGATGACGTGCATGCCGCAAGCAGCAATTCTTCTGTATGATTGGCCAGCTGCGTGATGCTCGGACAAAGCAACATGTAGCCACCCGACCCTTTGTCAGCCGCCCATACCCCTTCAACGATAGCACCAGGATCAGCTGCGACCAGTCGCGACACCCCAGAAATACGCCGACCAGGACCCAAGAATCAGTACGATCAGGGCCCCGAAGCAGGCCTTGGAGATGCCCTTGTTGCGCGCCCCGTTGTCCTCGTAAAAGGCCCGCTTGCGCTCGTTCCACAGCTCGCCGTTGGCGATGCGCTGCCTCCTGGTCCACTGCAGGTTCCCGAGGTCGACGGACCACCAGGACAGCGCGACGAGGGCGGCCGACACTAGGACTGAGGCGCCGGCGAGGACGGCGTAGACGACGACGACGCGGCTGTAGCTGTCGTTGTCGGCGTCCTGGATGGCGCCGGTGGTGACGCGCACGATGATGTTCATGCTGCAAAAAAAGGGGGAAGAGGTCTTTAGGTCAGGTGTCTAGTTTCCTCTCTCTCTCTCACACACACACACACATCTGGTTTTCTTCCCTGTTGGAACCTTTACTTACGCATTGTTGGTGGCTATCTTGACGGCATAGGCGGAACCGAAAGTCGACCCGTGCCACAGCGACGTACGTATGCTGTCGATGATGGAGGTAGGGCCCAGGGTGTAGGCGACGGCGTATACGCCAAAGGCAGCAGCCGTTCCTTTGACGTCGGTGGCCCAGGTGACCAGGGCCATGGCCAGGAAGACGCCGGCGCCGCAGATGGTGACTGGAAATATTTCTTAGTGTCCTTTTTCCCAACTTGAGCGCCAAGCTCGACATGATCAGGTGGGTTGATGACCTACGCAAGGTTATTCGATTGCCAAAAAGGTCGATAAAGGCGCCAATGCACGGGACGATGAAGAAGCCGGCATACTGCAGGGTCGCAGAGTACCAGCCGGCGGTGATGGCGTCCGTCTTGAACCTCCGCTCGGCCAGCTCGGTGGCGTTTTGGGTGAAGACGATGGCGGTGCTAGTCTCGAACATGGAGAAGGCTATGACGGCCCAAAAGACCCAGGGCAGCTCCAGGACCTTGCGGGGCTCAAACCGCTTGGACTTCTCGGTGAGCTTCTCGCCCGTGGCGGGGTCGGTGACGTTGCCGAACCTTGCGTGGGCGACGGCGTTGAAGCGGTAAAAGGCCCAGGTGAGGAGGTTTGTGAAGACGTTCATCAGGACGGCGATCCAAAACACCCAGGCGAAGTTGCCCGTGTTCTTGGCGATGACGTTGGCTGACGACTTGCCGACGAAGCCGCCCATCTTCTTGATGGCCAGCTCGAGGCCCAGCGTCGACGCGAAACCGTTGTTGGGCGAGAACCACGAGCTGAAGACCTTGTACTGCGCCACCTGCGTGGCGATGTCGCCGAGCGCCAAGACCACGCGCCCGCCGATCATGAGGTCGAAGGACCGGACCTGGGCGGCGGCGGCGACGACGACGGACCCGGCCGAGTAGATGGCGTTGCCGTAGAGCATGGCGCCGGCCCCTCCGATCCTGTCGGTCACGACGCCGCTGAGGAGGATCAGGAGGGTGACCATGAAGTCCTCGCTGGCCTCGAGCAGCGAGAACTGCTTGTTGTTGATGCGGAGCTCGCGCTTGAGCGTCGACTTGAGGGCGCCCGTGATGCCCGAGCTCCACGAGGAGCCGAAGCTGATGCACGAGATGAGCACGACGGCCGCGACCTTCCAGGACATGGGCGGGTGCGGCTTCGTCCCCTCGACCTCGGCCTCGGCCTCGTCCTCCGACTCCTTCTCGGCGGCGGACGAGCTGGGCGACGGCTGCTTGGGGACTTGTTCGCTGGCGAGTGGCTCGGGATGCGCCCCCGCGCGGGGGTCTGCAGCGGGCCTGGACGCCATTGTTCTTCCCTGACGTTTTCCGCCGCTCCGTGGACTGTTGGGCTGCGGGCAGAGGTTTGCAGCGGCGAAAAGGTGTGAGGTTCAGGATGCAAGGGCGGGCGCTGCGGTGGAGGACAGCAAACCGTGCCAGCCCCTTGATAAAATATTTGCGCGGCGAAATCCATCCCGAAAGCCGCCGGCGAGATGCGGGCTCAGCCCAGGGCGATGGAGCCGGTGGGCCGGGACCTGGCGATGGTTTGCAGAGATGCCATCTGATAAGATTACATCGGGTTAGGAGGGTCCAGAAAACCCACCCGTTCCGAGTCAGGCGGGCCCTCGGCTGGAAATATCTGCATCTGATAAAATTGCTACGGGGCGAGGCGAGGTCACGATTATCGAGAGTAGGCTTCGCGGACAGGTTCAATTGATACTATAGACTAAGAACTATTGCAAGGACGGGAAAAGAAGGAGAGAGGGCGCACTACTCCCTTGCTACTTGGGCCAGGGGAAAGTAGAGAGGATACCAAATCGTCCAGTCCAGTAAGAATGGTCGAATATACCCTCCCCTTGCACCGAAATCGCGCACAAAGTGCAAACAAACACGAGATAAAGAGAGTAAAAAAGCCAACAAAGCAGCAACGCCCAGTTGTACCTCCAGGTCGACCTCATACTCGTACATGCTCCGCGCGGAACCCCCTCTTCCCCCGGGGCCCGCCCACACCTTGGGCATCACCACCAACCCCCCTCCCCTCCATCAGCCTAGCCTCTTGCTCCTGCCCCTACGCGGCGTCGGCTGCTGGAGTGTCGGCACCGACGGGCTTCTTCGGGCGGCCGCGCGGCTCTCGGAAGCATCGGCAACCGCAACCTCGGTCTCCACCGACGGCAGCACCGTCTCGGGCCCAGGCTCGGGGGATCGGCGGGCGCGCCGGCCGCCACGGCCGCCGCGCCTGGCTGGAGCGGCCGTCCTCGCCTCCGCCGCCGCCGCCACCGCCGGCCGGCTGAGGCGTGCGCGCTTGGCCGGTGGCTGCTCGTCTTGGGCCGAGACGGGCTCGGGAGCGTCTGGCTCCGAGGGAGCAGCGGAGCGACCGGGCCCGGCGGCGGCGGCGGAAACGTACCGCCCTTCTCGAACCCACTGTTCCATGTCGGCGACGATTTCACCCTTCATCTTTTCCCACTCAAAAAGGCGCCACCCGGGGTAGGGGCCCGGCTCAGGCTCGGGCGCCTCTCCCAGCCGCTCAAGCCGCGAGCGAGGAGACAGAGGAGGCGGGGCAGGCCACAGGTCGGGTAGCTTTGCGTCTTGCCCCTCCGCCTCGCGCAACCTGCGCTCGATCAAGCCCCTGTGCATTCGCCACATCGGGAGCTTTTTGGAGCCCTCAATGCTGTAGATGTCGGGCATCGGCCCCAGCCGGGCGAATTGCGTCCGAGGCGAAAACGTAGGAGAAGAAGGCGAAGAAGGTATGGGAGAAGGCGACCTCGGAAAACGGCTTGGGCATTCTACTTGTCCAGGAATGGGCGAGGAAGAGTGGCTGCGGACCCAGTAGCGCTCAGGTTGGCTGGATCTAGGCGCGGCGATCATATCCAGCTCTTCGGCCTCGGAAGGAGTATAGGCGCCATGTGGCGCGAGATTGGGGCCGTACCTGCCCCCCCCCCCGCCGCGTCGTCGTCGTCGCG